CAGCAAGTGGCCTTCGTTTGCGATCGGTTCTTGCTCTACGCCTTCGTCATCATCACGGCTGTTGCCAGTAGCATGATCCTCTTTTCGTCTCCTCACGGGCCCCTGAAAGGGTCCTGAAAAGGGATTCTTTCTTTCTGTCTTCTTCTTGTTGCAAAAAAAAAATAATTTTTATCGTCCGTCGGGGCTCACGGTGAAAACCTTCGCGCCGAAATTCTTTGCTGCTGGGTTTCATTTATGCATGTTTTATTGTCCTTTTGGCGCTGCTGTTCGTCTTATACGATGGTCGATTACTGCTGGTGGCAATATTTGGGCGATTTCATTTTTTAGAAGTGTGTGAACGCTCTTCCATGTGCAGTATGCCAGTATTGTGCATGTGTTATTTTCTGTGAACGGGATGAAAACTTGGGTTTTTTGTTGTTGCGAATAATCGATTAGCAAATCCGTCATTTGAATGGTTAACTTAATGCTTGGTTGGGCAAAATACTGAGTATATGGTGTTATTCTGGGTATTAAAGTGCTGAACATAGATTATTAAGGCTGATGAATGAAGACTCAACTTAAATAGTCAAATAGCATATTTACAGGGCGCATCTTTTTTCCCAAAAAAAATTCAATTTGAAAAAATTGGGTACGCGACTTATTCAAAAAACGTTTACGCAAATTTTTCAGCCAAATATATTTAAAATTATGTAGAGATGAATACCCGAATAATCATGCTCAAGTGAATAAATTATTCGAGTTCTTCTTATTCTACAAGTACACAGTACTAATAAAATAATGCATTAATAAACAACTTCTAATTAATCATTTTTTCTATTTCAGTGAATTATTTTTCATTCGAAATTTTATGAGTATCACAATTACTTTTTTTTCTGAAGAAGTGGATATTTTCCATCCTAATTTCAGTTTCGGCCCATTAGGTTTCTGCTTATTAAAATTTAATTTTTGCGTTATTGGAACAATAAGTTTTCAATTGCGACCCAATTAATTGCAAATCTCCTGGATTTTGAAAAATGTTCACCATAGCAATCATGCATCAAATCGCACCCTATTTTCTCCACGAATAATTTACAGTTGTAAAACCCAGTGTCCATGAATTTTTACTTTTCAGAGGAAATTCAACAGGAATGCAGCAACTATATACAAGCTGTCATGAAAGAATGCAAAAATGCACATTGATCACATTTTTTCAATAAAAATGGCACTGTTGAATTTTAACTGAACTCAATCATATCTGAAGTCAATAAGGTACGTAGAACCCAAAAGCAGATTGGATAAAATTTATGGATTTTTGTGTGGATAAATTAAATTTAACCTGGTTACATCACCGTATTTTTTAAAATCACAATTTTAATCATTGGTTTCCCTGAATTTCACTGTATGATCAAGATGAAGTTGTTTGAGAAGCAGTCCACTCTTATTGTCCAACTTTGCAACATCAGCATTGTGTAAATACCAAAATATATTCTCTTCCAAGAGCATATGAATTTAATTTAAAATTTCAGTGAATGTGTCACAGAGATTTTGGTATCCTCGCCCATTTTTATTTAATTTTTTTGTTTGTCACTTTGATGAATCAACAAATCATAGAAGCAGCAAACATTTTTTCTCTGATCTCGTTCTGAGAAATTCACAGCAATTGACGGTTTTCCAGAGCTTGTATGAGTTCAATTATCTTTTAATGCAAAAAAAAGCAAATGCAAAACGAGGCATATTTTCGAAACTTTATTCTGTCTTATATTTTACTCGGGGACGTTTCAATGTACAGCTTTGTATTATTCGCATGGTGTTATGTTGAAATCCAAGTTTCTGACGTGTATTGAAAGGTTTCAAGCACTTGCGAAGAGGGGAATTTAACCAAACTTTATCTTCCTTTTTTTTTTTGGTCTGATATAGTTGTGAGTACAGTAGTTTTGAAACTTTCTCTGTTCGAACCAAGGGCACTTTATCCGCACGTGTGAAGACAGAAAACTTATGTTTCTAAAGACTTCGTTTTTTTAATCCTCCGCGTTTTGCTAGAGATAATATCTTAGCTCATATATAGTATATTTTTCAGAGAAGACCCAGAAAATCACGATCGCGAGAAGCATAAGGGGATTGAAATTAGAAACCATTCGTGACGGTTGCCTTCAGGAACACTTTTATGCAGATTCGGATATTTTTGGTCTCTTTCCTATTGACACGTGCTGTATAAAGAATTTATATATAGAGGAGATTACTTTTTTTTCCTGCGGTGTGGAAAAAAGATCTCACCGAGCATGGACTATAGAGAGAGTGCGGGGTTTAGATCCTCACCCCAGATTCCGTCGGGGTTGAATTTATCTGATTGACACACGACAGGACCCTTTTTTTTTTAATCTTCGCCTTTTGGTCACTTGTTTGATTTCCCATCTCGGATGGTTTCTCATTTCTTCAGACTTGTATATGTCCCCAGGACGGGGAAGGATTTGGAGGAGCGATGAGAACTCACAGGGTTGATCGATGAGTGAGCAACTTTCTCGGACTGCTCATGTGGATTTTTCTTTTACTCGAAAAAAAAAAACTTGAGAGACGCTTTCTTGAATAAAAATTGTGAATTGAAGAAAAAGGCTTTTAAAAAATACGATGAATCATTATTTTGTTCCCCTGTATTCATTATAAATTGTGGCAATGACTATTGTAAAAAATTTGAGCAATCTCACAGCAAGCAAAAAAAAATGCGATGAATTTGTAGCATCCGAATACACTGTGCTAATTTACTGTGTTTACCCGAGTAAAAAGCACACCTTTTTCTCAAAATTGAGAGAAAAAAGGGGGTACACATGGGGATTAAAGTTTAATAAAATTTCAGAAGTTTAGGGTGTGCATCACACTTGAATATATTGGGGCAATTTTCAGAGAAATTTTAAAATCAAAACAACTGAAAATTAATTCAATTCATGTTGAAATTTGAAATCTAGAGTATTTTTCAAAATATTTTAGTTTTTTCAAGAACTAAAAATGGGGCGCACATCTTAGTTGGATGAAAGGTTTCATAAAAATTTTATGGCAAAAAATTTGAGTGTGTGTCTTATGTGGGGATAGGATTAAAAAAAAAATTAGTACAAAAAATCAGTGTGTGTGTCCAAGTGTCTTTTGTCAAGGGCACATGGTACTTGAGTAAATGAATTAATTGTATAGAATATTTTTGAGGCAAGAAATGAAAGACTCGCCTGCCCTCCAGTTTCTCAGCCTGTTGAATCCAGCAAAAAACTCTGTACAATATTGTAATGATTGGATACAATATTTTCCAAAAATTCAACTGATGCCTCCTCAAGCGCAGTGTATTCCACATTTAACAACTGATGATGAATATTTAAATGCTTCATTTTGAATTAAAGTACCCATGTACACAGTATTACTGTTTGTACTTGAGTATACCACATACCCTGAAGTAAGAGAGTTAAGACACATACCAGGATTTTTCATTCAAATTCATGTTTTGACAAAATGGTAGCCTTGTGTAAAATTAGCATCTAATTCTTAGTTTCTTTTAAACTGCAGTATTTCAAAGATCAGAACACCTCAATTTGAATTTAACCTGAATTAAATTAATTTTCAATGGTTTCTATTATGCGCGCAGGGAGACTTACACTTCACTTCTAAACTTATAATGCACACCTAGACTTCTAAAACTTTCAAAAAAATGCTCACCCACTTATGATGCAAACCTGTCCCCCTTTTTTACTCTTGAATTTCAGAAAAAAAGGCGTGCATGGTACACCAGTATATATAGTATGTCCCTTTGAAAAGTAAGTGCTTCAAGCGCAAAAAAAAGTTATCCAGTGCGCATTTAAATTTGAATTTCAAATTGGAAGTTAACTGTAATTTGTTATGCTCCGATCACGCAACATGAAGTGTTCCCTTTATTGTGATTCTGGAAAGGTTTTCCTTTCCTGTGAGCAAAATTAATTCCATAAATGTAATAAAATTTTGTCAGAAAGCCCCACTTCTGGGAAAAAAAATCTGCTGGAATATTCAGAAGTGGATCCCATGCCTTGATGCATTCGAAGAGAAGAAAAACAAATTTTTGAATAGCTCGTTTCGATAGATGGATGCAACAAGAAAAGAAGCTGTTGCATCGATCATTTTGAAGGTGATGAACCGATTTTGTGTTGCTTTGATGATGATGATGATGATGATGATGACACATCTCTATTTTCTTCTGGATGCTCGCAAGAAAGTGGGATTCGTCGTGGATTTTTTATTATGTTGATTGTGTCCGATTTTTTAGGAATCACTTTGAATGTTAGCTTCCCTGGAAATCGTTGGGCAATTTTTGCTTGTCCGAGTGATTGTTGATTGATCTCGTATTTCACTGTTCTGATTGAGGAAAGAAGTAAAAAAAAAACCAGTGATGATGGATCGCACTTTTAGTCTCAGCTTTTTTCATATTTTGAATCATATATGGATGAATCATATATGGATGAATCATTCGTAAATATACGTCGTTTTTCTATTTTCGCGGGGAAAAATTCAAAAATCAGGCAAGTCAAGTTCGTGGATCGTTTTGTGGTCTTGCAATGGTTTCAGGTTGTCCAAGTTGTCCCAGTAATTACCCAAGTAGTTCATGGCAATATGCTTGAACCAAGGAGTGGTTACAAGCTCATTGGTCTCCAATTGTCGCTTGAACTCATCGAACTCTGATCGTTTGACGTACCTGCATCAAAAAATAAAATGTTAAAACAGAAATAAAAAATTGGAACATAATTGAAAAGACTTTCCGTGTATTGTCCTATTTATTTAATGCCTTGCTGGACTCTTACAATACAGTACAGTACTGCATTTACGAAAATGCAAGATACTAACAGAGATTTAGTATGTAAATCATGCTCATCCTGTCCAAGCTAGTTTTGAAAAATTAACTCAAGATAATCTCAAAATTTTATCAACCTTGAACAAAATTGCATTTCAGTGGCACCAATTCTTTAAATTTGGAAATTTTGAAGCATGGATTAAATACAGATCTGCCAATTTTGTAAAGAGTCAAATGGAAGGCGTGTTCAGTATTTTAACATAATTTCCTTTCTTCAAATTGAATTATTTTCAATCCCGGTCTTACACTGAAAAATTCTAATGAATGTCAAAGGTTTAATCTTTGGTAAAGAAGAAAGAAGTGCATCCTAGACTTGAAAGCAAGCTTTTTCTTTGCTTTGTTTGCACACGTCAAGATTTTAGTTCTTGAAATCCGCCATCTTAAAGGTGCAAATAAAACCACAGTTCTCGCAGTTATTTCATGAAAATTTGCCTCGTCCTTTACCTGCATGCGTTAACTTCGTTCGGATCCGGATTCAGTTCGACGTCTTTGACGCAGACGAACAAGTAGTAGATTTCATGTTCGCCCCACCCGTAAACTTCCGAACTTTTCACTTCATAGTAGAACCTGTGCATGTACCACAGATCGTCGGGCGTGATGGCGCCCTTTGGAATCCCGAGTTCCTCGGACAGGCGCCGCACGGCGGCTCGCTTCACTCCCAATGCCGCCTTCTCCTCCGACTCTTCCGGCGTCGCCCACGGATGACTGCAGCAGGTGTTCGTAAAGCTAAAGACAATTATGAAGATACCAAAAAAATTAATCCTATAGGCCTTTTTCAACTTTTCCCATTATGAATTTTCAATCGAAATACATTCCAGTGGCACCCTGACGTACGGACGAT